TGCTAACACCGATAGTTTTCACGAGGCCATGTCACTAATGGAATCTAATCAACACAAAAAATCTACCGTTCATAATAATATTAGTTTTAATAACCGAATTCGGTGGAGGTGGAGGACAGTTCTTAAGGAATTAAAAATACGAAATTTTCAAATTGCATGAATGCGGATCTCGTAAATGTGTGAGTAGTAAGTTAGTGTGTGTAACAGTTAGTGTAAAAGAACTCATGCTCATTGCTCATGTACAAGTCACTAGGTACTTTGGAATTGCGCCGTTTAAACAAGATTTGAGGGGGTGGTAGGAGCGACGCTCAGTTGTGTGTACTTTTTGTCCATCATACCCGATCGACTTGAAAATTAGATAATATTTTCAAAAAACTGATATGAATTTGCTATAATGTCTACTCGAGATCGATCAGTCCACATTTTGAGATTTCTGATTTTAATCTTTCAAATGATCGACGTTTCAAAATGGCTAAATTTAAAAATATTCAAACCAAATGTATAGAAATTGGGGGGGGGGGGAAAAAAAATTTAGATAATTAGACTGATCGATCTCAAGTATAAGACATAATTAAGAATTCAAAAAAGTTTTCAAAATCATTATCGGAAAACTAGGCCGATCAGTATATGGTGGACAAAAGATTGCGGTATGTTTTGGCTAAAATAACTGATCGCCGCACCAACCCCCTTGAACATAATATTATGGTAAATACCAAAAATATACGGGGTAATAGGTACCTACATTTCGATGGGAAATCCTATGTAAATAAGTCTTCTTGGAAATAATAAAAATATTCGTCGCCTCGGAGAACAGAACCGCAAATCGTCTGTCTCCACAATATAATAATAATAATTATTATTATTATTACTATCATACAAGCCCTCGACGGACGTTACGGTGGACGTTCAGGAATGTCTAAAATCCGACATTCTCATTGGTCCGTTCTGTATAATATTATTAATTATTATCAAGTCGGATTGCCAGGCCGTTGCGTTCGTACGATCAGCCAATTATGTACGCCATACGGGTGCTAATACGGGGAAAATTAAATGAACGACGCCGGGAAATCGTTGTAATAACGACGAAAACGGCCATAATAATAATAATAATACTTATCGGTATATTATTTATAGAAACCCCGTTGGCCGGCGAATCCATCGGGAATATAGGTCGTGGGTGAACACGGAGAGATAGACGACAAACGAACGATCACAATAACATTATTTTCGTAACTATACGACATTAAAAATTGATCGAAATTATTCGGTGACCGAATATCATTGATATTGGTACGATTTTTTATCAGTGGTGCATCGTCATTAAAAAAATCAGAAAAACCAATTGTATTTAACTATATATATATTAATAATAATATTTATTGGCAATCTGTGGATACATTTAAATACAACTACAACAAAAAGAATATCGAGTGTACATTTAATGGCCCAACCCCAGCTCACTCACCGCTGACAATAAAATCTTATTGGTGAAATTGAAGTAAGTACTAATAATAATACCAAGGGTTGTAAAATTTCATTTCCATGAGAAAGAAAAAAGTGTTTATTATATGTAGGTATATATAAAAAAACATAGCTATTAACTTGCAAGTGAACATTTAAAAAAATTGTCTTATCGTTTGAAACAGAGGAAATATTTACATATATTTACATGTAAAAATTTAAGTTGTTTAACAAATCCATAATATAACAAATTTTAACATTTTAACTCAGAAGTTACAAAAGTCAAAAGTCAACTCAACATCATAACATATTTTAAAACTATTATAAAAAAATGTTTCATGTTCTTTAAGAAACCTAATAATTTATAACCATGGTATATTATAGTAATTTGTAAACTTATTGTTTGATAACCAATAACTAATAAGTAATAATTTATTCATTATCGATGTTTTTTGCGTGTAATCAATATATTATTTCTAATTTTCTTTATTTAAAGAAGGTAGTACAACTTTCTTTAAAAGAAGAAAAAATGTTTTTCATAAATTCATTGAAATATTTCAAGAAGAGTGAAATTTTCAATTTTTGATTATATTTCAAATTCAAAACCATAATAATGACTAATAAATAATTAAGATAACAACACAACATAAAATACAGTAAAAATAAAAGATAAAAATAAAATAAGTTGTTACTATAGTATTTAAGTAAAAATCAATTTAATGAAATTAAGTTAGGTTCACATTGACATGTATACAGTGCTCTTAACTGTTTGGATTATGGCCCAACCATATTTTAACACACTTTTTGTACTGTACTGTCTGTACATAATATATAGGATTTACAATTTAAGATATGCGACGGGGCTTTATTTAATAGCTATTAATATCTACTGGGAAAAATATTGGCTTGATTTCAACGTTCGGATTGAAGGGAACTCTCTTAACTCCTTCAGTCCCCTTGTCCATTGTAATTTTCACACATTGTATTTTAAATATGAACTGTAAATTATTTGTAATACATAACGATGATGGGAAAACTAAGTTAGTATTGATTGTATAGGTATTTTAAATAATTTCTTATAACAATAACCTTATGACAGTATAAAAATAGCATTTTTAAACCATGTATTAGAAAAAAATTATGTAACACTATTAAGAGTACCAAATTACGATTTTTTTAAATTCAAATTACCTATTCATAGTATAGTTGGACCTTTCTTGTTCGTGCGTAGCACACAACGTGTATAAATTGTATACGCCGTCTTGATTGTGTGTATGATATTATATTTTAGTTTTAAATATTTTTCAATATTTGGACTTTTGACTAACTTATTCATGGCGTAGCCATTCGTTCGGACGAGCCTGTATTTTTAAAACGCACCGCCGACGACAATGATATATTATTATTATTATTATTATTATTATATGATATTATGAGATTGTCGAGAAAACGAATCGGATTGCAGACGTTTGCAGAATGCGTTATCGTAATAAATATTTTTTTTACAATGACAACTGTGATGCAATTTTGTGGGTAAACAGCGATTTCGCATAATGCAAACGACTGGTTAACCGGTGGTTAGGTGCTTTATATACATCGAAATGTAGTGATATTATGAAATAATTCGTGCGGCGGTAGGCATAACGTGAAAATATCGAAAACTAATTTGTGATTTTAAAATATCGTTCAACAATAATATAATTATTCATAACCTAACATTGCTGTGTAGGCACCAACAGCTTAAATCAAAATGAGTGCAAATATAGCTACAAGTTTATACAGAAATAAATAAAAACTTAACACAGTTAAAAATGTATTCTTCTGTCATTCAATATTAATATTATTACTATTACTATTACTATTATTATTTATTGTCGCTACCTTAGTGGTTTTTTTTTTAATTTACACGATTGTGAAATAACTAAATCAGCTGGATAGTACAATGGATAGGTACTTTACTAGATAAGTCGACAACTTACTAAAAACATACTATCCCTTAAGCACATTCTCACTGATCGACCAATAATATTTGTTATAAATCTGATCTTCGCCACATCAAAAGCTGTATGTCGTCAAATAATTAATTAACTGGTCAAGTTTAAAACCACAAAAGTAAATTATAACTTCTGACGAGTTGACATATATTTGTTTATTTTTTTTCATAATATGAATTCACAAAGATTCAAAATGTACTTTGTTTTGTTAAAAATATTATTTTCATAAATAAGCAATCTTAAATATTATTTACAAGTATATTGCGATGTATAATATAAATATCAAATATCAAATTTTAGACTGACAAATGCTCAATTTTTAGATTTCAATAGAGATCATCATTACTTAGAAATATAAATACAACTTAATATACATTTCCATAGAAAATTAAAGTATCTGCAAAACATATTTATTTTAAAATCTCTTGACACTACCAGATAACTAAGTTCGACGTTTATAAAAATATACTTCGGCTCCGTGACCCTTTAAAAATTAACCTAATAATAATTAATAACTCCTGTTAGTACTTATTGGTGTCCATCTTTGGATAGTCTCCACTTCGATTAATACTACTCTTGAAGATATTATATATATACTATTTCAGATGTGTTGCTTTTACTCTATTTTTTTTCTTGTGCTGTTGTGCTGTACATGCTTTTATCGAATTTAATATCATTGCAGGTATTTAGCATGGAGAGATATTCAGTTAAAGTAATAAAGCCAAGGTGAGTTATTTTTAATTTTTACTATTTGATTTGTAACATTTACAAGTTATAGGTATGATATAGAAATCTGACCTTGACTTACATTTTCCTATATTAATTTAACTCTACATATAAACGAGTTAATCAGTTGACTTACCCTGTCTCGATGGTGGTAAGCCATTATATCGTTATTTGTAATACCTATAAGTACCATGACGAAATAGATATATGTATATATATATATTTTATCATATCAGTACGTAACTTCGTCCAAAATAGAGCACCACGCCTAATGTAGTTCTCGTTATTTTATTGGTCATAATCAGAGCTCGGAACTCTATGCATTTGCATATTTGTTCAGGAAGTAAATAGAATAAATCTGATCAAGGCCGTATCTGGGGGCCCCCCCCGAAATTGTTCGCGTTATTTTATGTCGTAATAAAATAACTATTTCAGTCTAGAATAATCGATAAACATTGATACGTGCATATACGAATGACAGCTATGGTCTACGTTATAAACTTAAAAATAACAATTTGTACCAGATAAATTCACTTCGGGTATATCAGCCGGATTTCTTGATAATATTATAGGTACATACTGCATAGGTATATATATGTATAATACATTACCACCAGAATGTGTAATCGACAAAGAACTATTTCTTAGTATTTTAGTAATCTTATCTTAATAGTCTTTGATGATAGTTAAAACTTTTTCACGGGCAATATTCATTTCCAATATTTAGTTGACATTTGGTTTACGTTCTGTCGTTTTATTGTGCTACGATTTACGAAGTGTTTAATTTATTTATTTGAAATGTTAAAAAGACAAAACACTATGATGAATAATTTTTTTATAAAAAAGCCTAAATTAAATTTATTGGAAAATGAAGTCGAAGACACACCACATACATCAAGTTTATGTCCAGAGTTGAACAATGAAACATCTACCTCAAACGTTAATATTTATGATATTGGGAAATATTTGAATCAAACTGTAAGTAACGAATTGAAGTATAAATTATTAGTAAATAAATGGACACCCGATGAAACTTATAAATTTCCCATAGTTGGAAAAAGAAATTTAAAATTCCAGTTTAATTGGTTTAAACGATTTTCTTGGCTTGCTTACACAACAATAGGCGAACAAGGAGCAATGTGCACGTTTTGTGTTTTATTTGCCAGGGATTTCGGAGGAAAGGGAAATCATCAACAATTAGGAATCTTAGTTAATAAGCCATTTAATAATTGGAAAAAAGCTATTGAAACTTTATCCCATCATAGCACAACACAGTTTCATAAAAATAGTGTAATATTTGGTGAAAATTTTATTAACACGTATACCAAACTTCAACCAGATATTCGACAACAACTCGATTCCGCAAGAGCTCTACAAATTTCTGAAAATAGAAAAAAACTCGTTCCAATTATAAAAACAATTATTTTATGTGGCCGACAAGAGTTAGCACTTCGAGGGCGAAATGATTCGGGTCCTCTTGATTTAAATATTGTTGAACCTGATCATAATGATGGTAATTTAAGAGCACTGTTGCGTATGCGAATTTCATGCGGAGACAAACAATTAATTAATCATATTGAAAATCAGTCTTTAAACGCTATATACATAAGTCCTAGTATACAAAATAATTTTATTAAGATTTGTGGGAAAATAATTCAAGATAATTTAGTTTGTAAAATTAATGCAGCGAAGTCGTTTTCGGTTCTCGTTGACGAAACTACCGACATATCACGCATAGAACAATTGACTCTTTGTATTAGATATATAGATTCAGTAGAGACAACTAATACTATTAATTATGTTTTACGTGAAGACTTTTTACAATTTGTACCGGTTCACAGCACTACTGGTCAAAACCTAGCCTCTGTAATAATAAATTCATTACAAGCACTTGGAATTAACGATAAATATATGGTCGGTCAGGGTTATGATGGCGCTGCGTCCATGAGTGGAAATCTTAAAGGCGTCCAAACTATTATAAGGGAAAGTCATCCAGCAGCACTTTACGTGCATTGTAGTGCGCACTCTTTAAATTTAGCGCTAGCTCATTCGTGCAATGTTCAATACGTCAGAAATTGTATTGGTACAATAAAATCTATTGGAAATTTCATTAAAAGTTCGGCTATGCGGACAAATATATTAAAAACTAAAATAAAAAACATTTTACCTAATACCAAGTGGACTAAACTGACATCAATGTGTGACACTCGTTGGGTTGAAAACCACAACGGAATTCAAAGATTTGTTGAAATTTTTCAACCCATTGTTGAAACTTTGGAAGAATTACAATTAGTTCAAGACATCAATACGTCATCAAAATCAATTCAATTTTATCGAGCAATAGTTACTAGTGAATTTATATTAAGTATGGTTACATCAAATACTCTGTTTTCAATGACACTTCCACTGTGTAAAAGTTTACAATCAGTTAGTTGTGACTTAGTAGAAGCTGTACAACATATCGAGACAATACTAAACGAATTAACTCATTTACGTGAAAATATTGATCATACGTTTAATGACATTTTTGAAAAACCTGAACTTCTTTTAAAATCTATTGACGGAGAAGAAAATATTAGAATTCCCAGAATAGTAGCTCGTCAACAAAATCGTGTGAATATTGTTACTAATTGTCCGAAAACATATTTTCGTATAGCTATTGCAATACCATTTTTTGATGATTTTATAAGACAATTAAAAGAACGCTTCACTAACCATAAAAAAATAATATCTTCGCTGTGCTTTTTACTTCCCAATAAATGTACTAATTCCGAATTAGAAGCAAGTGATTTCGAATTATACTCAGAGTTTTTAGATTTGGATGCACTTTCGAACGAGTTAAGACTTTGGAAAAGAAAATGGTGTGATAAACCAATATTAGAACGATCTCCTGAAATACTTGAAGCATATTCAAATTGTAACAAAAATTTTTTCCCAAATATTTCATTTTTATTAAAAGTTTTGGCAACTTTACCAGTAACTACGGCGACACCGGAAAGAACTTTTTCGACGCTGAAAAGAATAAAAAATTACCTAAGGAATGCAACTGGAGAAGACCGATTGACTGGCCTAGCATTACTCAGTGTACATAGGAATATCGTTGTAGATCCAGAAGAAGTAATCAATCGTTTTTCAAATGAAAAACAAAGAAATATAGAGTTTGTCATATAAAATATAAACCATTTTTCAAACTAAATGTATAGAATTAAGTTAAATAATCTAATTAATATTAAGTCTAAAAATGTTTTAATGTGAATTTCATTAATAAATACTATTTATAATTCTACAATATTATGAATTTTTAACCATATTTAATTACCTACACAATATTATAATACAATTAGAACACACATTTTTGGATTAAAACCCCCCCCGAAATTAATTTCCAGTTACGGCCTTGAATCTGATCCGGTACAAATTTGTGTTGTGGTGTTTGGAGTTAAAGTTTAAACGTTTACTGTGCATATGTTTGCATATTTTGGAATTTTTTTCTACAAACGCATATTTTTAAGATTTATTGATTTTTATTGCATATTTTAAAATAATTTTTGATTATATACTCTTAAATCAATTTTTATTATTAGTTTTTAATAGTTATTATTTTATTATTTAGTATTATTTTGTTTGCCAGTACATAGTGATCGATTACTTACGATCATTATCGTTGTGTTCGTTTTTTTTGTATTTATTAGTGCTCGTATTTGTAGTATAATATGCCAAAAGAAAAAAAAACACAAATTAGTCGATTGAGAAGTTTCATTTTGGAATTTGGAGATAATGTATTTTCCGCAGACGGAAGAATTTTATTCTGCAAAATATGTGAAATTAAAGTATAATATGAACATTGAACGGCGATCTAGTGTAATACAACATATGCAAACCGTAAAACATATGAACATGAAAGTGATACTAAATAACATTTAAGTAAATAAGTCATAAAATAGTGGGAAAAAAACAAAAATAATAGTTCATATTAAATATGTTTTTAAAGTACTATCTGAATAGCAAATGGAATCCGAGGACTGTGTAATAGTCAATAGATTTTGTCTGAAGATGAATGTGCTTATCATTAAAAATGTGATCATGCCTATCTATTTATTCATGGTTATAGTACACCCCATTATTATTATCTATCATTATGATGTACAAGCTGAGTAAAATATAATGTGTATTATTTAAGTGGACGATAATAATTATCTCGAGGCTTTTGTTTTCCGAGAGTTGTCTCCACGGGGTTAGCGCCAAACCTAAAACTCGATAAACGCTTTTTGAAGTATGTAGAAAAATGCTAAAACTCGTTTTAATTACAATATCTTGCCGTCTTTTTAACTTGAAATGTACAGAGACGGCATGCCATTAAAACGCTCGCGCTACAGTAATTATTATATTATTATTATTATTCTTATTATATCGTAATACTAAAATGTACGCCATTCTCTCGTGTTATAGCTTCTACGACAATAATAATAATGATATCGTAAAACAATAATTGGGGGTTGAGATATTATTATTATTTTTTCTTTAGGTTTTTACTTTTGAGTTTTGGCTAGCTTGCCTATTATAAATTATTATTTTGTTCTCGGTTTATCGCATCAAATGACGAAGGATGGTTTTTTTTTAAAGGCCATCACTCAAGTTTTTGGTTTCTAAATAGTATTCAATGTTACTTGTGCAATTGTAACTATTATAATTATTATCAATTTTGGTACCCATAAAATATAATACCTATGCGGTTATGCCACTAAAGTGTTCGGAGGTCCAGCATCAACCAGTGTCGCTAGCTCCCGGATGGGTGAAAACCCGAGTTTTTAGTGACGAATATTTGCCTTATATACATATACATATGTTCAAAAACAGCTGTACCCTCAACAACCTTCAGACTAATAAAATCAGATTTTGAAGCCTTAACTCAATAAAAAAAGAATATAATATGACACAATATCGCTTTCGATTCTTGAGGTCTCGGTCTTATTTATAAACGTTTTGACATGGCCTTGATTAATTTATTCGAAGTCGCGATTAGATTTCAAAATAAAAAAAATAAAATAAAAAAAAGTTCCTACACGATATGTACACCTATATATATTATATACGTACGTGAAGTTAGCATTGAAATATGTTAGACATTTATACGAAATACTGGGCAAATCAAATTACGTCATCCAACTTTGTTCGGACGTCTTGTGTCTGACAATACTTTCGTGGAAGTCGGTATATAAAAACTTTTTTTTCATGCTCACAATATTCGTGTATCTTATATATAATATTATATTTGTCACAAAATATGTTGAACGATAAAACATTCACCAAAAATTAATTTTATCTAGAAATTATTTTACAATATTTACTTGCAATAATAATTTCCAAATGAATACTTAATTATGTAGGCATCTACCCAATACTAATATAGGCAGTTTTTAGTCATATGCAAAAATAAAATGAGATTTCACACAGTATTTTAAACTGTAATTTTAATGAACTTTTCGTAATATTATAAAATTATATCCACAGCTTACTACATAATAGTGTTGTAGCACAACTATATATAGATTTCTCGATACGATATCGTAAATTATCTGAATATTGGCCACCGTTTTTGGTCATTTTCGATATCTACACAGCATTTATAAATCGTAAAATACCGTGATATCGATGATACGCTTCATAACTGCACAAGTTATAACGTTAAGGAAAATATAATATATTTATCTAACTAAACCTCCATTGTGGTATTATGGTTGGTAATATTATACTGAACGCATCCCAGATACAAACCCGTGGTAAGAAATAAATTAAGCACTAACAAATATGACCGTTTTTCGGTGACCAAAACATTAATATTTTATAACAATCGACATTAAACTGTATTTTTTTTTTTTTGTGATCAGAGTTGTTCTCGTCAGTCGACAGTCATTACACGTTCACTTGTATACAGTTATAGTGATAAATAAGTGTGAATTTCTAATACGAGTGTGAATTATTACAGGAACCCTACTTTGGCTTTAAAGTTAAAATATCAGTTGTATTCTAGATACCTACATGACGTCATCGATATCAATATCAAATAAAATGTCATGCAACACAACGAGTCTACTACGCACAGAAAAAAAACAAATTTTAATCCCACCCTCCACAATCATATTCAGTCGACAGCGAGCACACTAACAAGTCCGAAGAAAGTGGTTGGGGGATGTTTTCCTATTGTGCGTTTACGCTCGTACTAATACTTATCATAACAATTTTTTATACTCTTTTAGAAAAACTTGCCAAGCGCCAAGGTCTGAAAAAACAAAACTTCCGCAAACCGCCTTATACGGGTAAAATATGTGCGTTATACATGCACATTGCACAATGCACACATCTAATAACGATAATGATGATTATTATTATTTATTATTATAATGATCATACTTTTTGTGTGCGCAAATAATTATAAAGACCTTGAGTGGAAAAGTTTTTCGCAAAATAATGATACAATCCGTGACAAAGTTTCTTCGAAACACGAATTCTGTATCTCATAGTAATTATAAATTAAATTATTCTATTATTATTATTATCATTGTCGTTGTTATTATCATTATTATATTATTAAGTAGTATACATTATACACGCCTTATGATGGCGGTGCGCTCACGAATTTCGTTAACCAAATCCCACTCGAAACTTTCAGCTTTGTATACGCGTCCAAGTCGAATCGATTTCGATGTGGACCTAATATATATATAAGCAAAATGATACTCTATACATGCACTATAACTACTCAGTGTAGGACCCAAAATATTCGTTTTATCTCGTCCGACTATCTTCCAACTGAAATATTATGAACCAGGCCGTCCTGCACTGTCCTCGGTGTCGCTTGCCCAATATTAATGTCTTATCGATGTTTTGTCATCTCCAAAAATTAAGAGGAAAAACAGAGTGGTTGAATAGTCTATAATATTTCTCGTATTGACACTTTTCTGCGAAAAGCCAAATCTTTGAACTTAATTTCTGTATTTTACTGTAATATTATATTATTGATTAGAAATAGTTACCGTCCAATTGGATTTTTTGTAACCATACCCACGAACGACGGTCATTGCAGGTTTTCAGATGCCATATTCCATCTTATAGACATGTTTAAAAAATAAATATTTATAATGATAGCCAGAAATTATATTTTACGCTATCTGCTATTTTATTTAAAAATTCAAGCAGATGCCGTTCTTTATAGTTGCTTACAGAGGCATTTCGATAAATTCGTTATCTGCAGTAGCGAGGCGTTTCTATAAGCACTTTAAGAGTCGCTTAGTTGCTTACACTTGTAGTAACACACAGTTTCAGAAAAAACTAAAAATACTTGACACGAAAAATATTTGCGAGTTAGACATTCATTTTAAAATAATATTCTTTGCCATTATACTTTGATTTACACATCACCTGCACATCTTGAACGTATACGTCATATCATTCAATAATAATAAATTAATGTGTCACATTAATCGTCGTCGTCCGATATTTAAAGTTCTCGCTTATAATGAGTTGTAATATGGTTGTCGGTTGGTGATAGTTGTGACCTCGACAAATTAAATTATGAAAATTCAAATTATTAGTTTTACGAAAGAAGTATTTTGAGAATTCGTTTAAATTCAGTAGGTATCAATGCATTCATTCTTCTTCGAAAACGTTCTAATATATGTATGGTATAAACAATAAACATGATATTTTCCGAGAAATAAGTATACTATTGTTAATTCGCTAGCATAGACGTTAAACAACCATAGGCGAGTAATGAGTGTATGAAAAATGGAAAAGGACAGAGGGCGCTTTTTGATTATATAGTTACGGTGGTAAGCGGTATTTTATGTTTGTGTATGGTCCATACCAAATTGCCAGTTTAGGTACGCGTACGATATCTGTTCAGTTTAAAACTTAACTCCACAATAATTATTGTGAATACGCACGCCTGTCGTCCAAAACGGCGTACATCACTGCGAGATGTCTTACCACCACGATTTCATAATCTTAAATTATTGTAGTTACCACCGCCCGTTATGCTGTTGTTATACACATTACTTGTCTAGTAGTATATCGAGGTCTATGTTCGCGGTTAAAAGAAAATGTGGTCATTGGTTATA